CCATATCTCTATTGGAATATCAACAGGTACAACAACTTTTTCATACTTCATTTTCTTTAAAGCCTCTCTAACTTCAATTTTACTAATATGCCGATAAAAAAAACATCTTTATTTTCATTTAGGGTTTAGGGTGCTAAGGTCATTAAAGTCAACCGTATTTTCACATTCTTTATTGAAAAGTTTAGCAAAATACCTTATCCACCTTTGTTGGATATCATCTTCTAAGAAAAATACTTTTTAATCTTCATCCTTAATACAATTAACTTGAACTATCTCTTGAAATAATGATATGATAAACTGACAACCCAAAATAACTAGGACAAAGATAAATAATAAATAATACAACTGAGCAACTAGGTGTAAATGAGCTCAGCTTGAGCAAGTTGTAACCATGTTTAGGTAAGTTCATTCCCCATTAAACTTGAGCAGGAAAATAGAGGAGCATAAACTCTTTGCAAACATCAAGCAATATTGCCAAGAACAGGAGCAACCAATTGGAATTAAATTGTGCATTTTCAAGTGCAAGCCCAAAATTCAGTACAATCGCTTGATAGAAACAAGATCTACAATCCACAAAATATATATAATCCTCACAATGGCCGCATCTGCATGATCAGAAGACACATAACATGGCACCCAACAACAAAAGACAATAAGCCATAGGTGTCTCAAAGATCTTATCCACTCCGACGATCCCAAATCCCCCCAAGTGCAGTGTGCACTACATCACAAGTTGCAACCTATTCCAAGTGAAGATAATCAAGAATACTTCCCCAATCTTGCATGTCATGCTCAATGCTTGGCCCATCCTACACATTTGCACTTTTTTTAGGTTTACAAAAAGGAAACTGATCATCATTGTCTCCTCCTTTAAAAAATAAAACAAATTAAATTCAATTAAATTCCAAGGACCAAGCAACATAAACATCATTGCCCAATCGGTAACATACAACTATATCAACAAGTACTTTCAGTGCAAATGACAAAAATCAGGAATTGAAAGATTTTTTTTTTCAAAGATTTGCCCGTAATTATTTATCCAAATATGAATTCACTAACGAAGCACCAACGAGAGACTATTCATGCAACTACACTATAGACAACCTTTTGAAATGGTGTGAATGAGAACAAACCATGTGTTCTTAGCAAATGACAAGCCCAATCACAACTATCAAATTCAATTAAAATGTTTTATCTAGAATAATGGCATAAACAATGGATGAACTACAATGAAATTGTGTTATTGATTTGGACTCATTTGCACTCGGATTGAGTCGAATTTAATGTCCTTGGGTTCGTATTTCCGAGAAATTTAATTCAACTGCAAGTTTGTTGAAATTGGAGTTCAGACGGCCTCAAATTTAATTTTTGAAGTTTCCAATCTGATTTTGCCTTGAGATTCGTGCCCGATCAAGATAAGTTTTTGATGATATATCAATCATAAACAACGGATGGGTGGCACACTGCATCGGTTGCCTCGGGAGAGGTTCCCCTGGCCATCCATGTTGCAGTTACCCCTCTGTGACTAAACATGCCCAACAAAGCCACAAATTTCATATCATTCCAGAGTTTAAGCCAGCCGTGAGAGTAGAGCAAGCCCAACAAACGATATTTTGGATCCAAGTGGAATAAGAAAGGGCTTGAAAATCAGCGGATAAAGGACTAATGAAGCACCATAAGCATCATTGCTCAATCGGTAATATACTATTATATCAACGAGTGCTTTCAGTGCAAGTGACAAAAATCAGGAATTGAAAGATTTTTTTTCAAAGATTTGCCCGTAATTATTTATTCAAGTACGAATTCACTAATGAAGCACCAACAAGAGACTACGCATACAACTACACCGTAGACGTCCCTTGGAAATGGTGTGAATGAGAACAAAACATTTGCTGTTTGCAAACTAAGAAGCCCAATCACAACTACCAAATTTAATTAAAAAGTCTTATCTAGAATAATGGGACAGGGTACCCTGGCCATCCATGCGGCAGTTACCCCTCTGTGACTAGACAAGCCCCAACAACAACAACAACAACAACAACATCAAGCCTTTATCCCACTACGTGGGGTCGGCTACATGAATCCTTTTTCTCCATTGTGTCCTATTAAAAGTCAAATTCTCGTTTAAATCTAATAAAGAAAGGTCATTCCTAATATTTTATAACCAAGTCTTTTTAGGTCTACCCCTACCTTTCTTAACAAAAGTCAAATCTAATACCTCTACTCTCCTAACCGGGTCATCGCAAGGACGCCGTTTTATATGACCAAACCATCTAAGGCGACTTTCTCTAATCTTATCTTCTATTGGAGCTACTCCAACCTTTTCACGTATATGCTCATTTCCTATCCTGTCTCCAAGGGTAAAGCCACTCATCCACCTGAGCATCCTCATCTCTGCCACACTTAACTTAGTATTATGCTTCTCTTTTAAAGGCCAACATTCGGCACCATAAAGCATTGCAGGCCTCACTACCATCTTATAGAATTTTCCCTTAAGTTTGAGGGATACATTTCTATCACATAACAAGCCCGATGCATTTCTCCACTTCAACCATCCAACTTGAATTCTGCTGATAATATCCCCATCTATTTCACCATCACTCTGAACAATAGAGCCAATATATCTAAAACATGTACTCTTATTAATGACTTGATCGCCCAAAGTCACAATCTCCTCACTAGGTCTATTACTACTAAAATTACACTCCATATATTCTGTTTTAGATCTATTCAAGCGAAAACCTTTAGACAAGCCCAGCAAAGCCATAAATTTCATATCATTCCAGAGTGTATGCAAACCGTCAGGGCAGGGCAAGCCCAACAAACTATATTTTGGATCCAAAAGGAAAAAAAAAATGACCTCTGGATCTCTAGAAAATAGAAAGACAATTATTTTGGAAACGGTCTGAATGATAATAAAATATTTCCTGTTTGCAAATAGAAAAGCCCAATAACAACAATCAAATTCAATAAAAATGACGCATCTAGAATGATGGCATAAACAACTGATGGGTGGCACTGCATCGGTTGCCTGAGGAGAGGATCCCCTGGCCATCCATGAAGCAGTCACCTCTCTGTGGCTAGCGAAGCCCAACAAAGCCACATATGTCTGATCATTCAACAGTGGAGGCCAGCTGTTAGACCAGGGCAACACCAAGGAAATGTTGGATTCATGATGAAGGAGAAATATGTGTGTGGAGAAATTATTACGTGCGGAGAAATCGTGGAGAAATTATTACGTGCGGAGAAATCGTGGAGAAATTATTCTGTGCGGACGCCGAACGAAATTTACCGTCCAAAGACCTACCAAAAATGCGCCAATCATAAACCGTAAACCCTAAACCGTGACACCTAAATTACACACTGCACACTATACAAGCTTGTAGTCAGGCTAGGGCAAAAAATGAAATAAGGGGGCTTCACATAAATAACACCTCTCTCTCTCTCTCTCTCTCTCTCTCTCTCTCTCTCTCTCTCTCTCTCTCTCTTTCTTATATTTCAGACCATTCGAGAGATGAAGCAAGTCACCAGGCTACGGCAACACCAACTAAAGAAACGTTAGATCCAAAGAGAGAATGGAGAGCTGACTATTCTCTCTCTCTCCCTGGCAATCCAAGCCTAACAAAGCCACCAATTTCAGCAAAGAAAGATACCACCTTCGGATCATTGGAGTTGAAGAAGTCAAGCAAGGGCAAATAAAAAAAAAGGGGATTTACATACATACCACAAAATTGAAATGAATCCAATAAGGAGAAAAGACCCAAGACTCTCCTAACTGAAAAGCCACAAGTTTCGGATCATCCGAGAGCGGAAACCAGCCGTCAGGCCAGGGCAATACCGACTAAGCAAACATTAGATCCAGGAGGAAAGAGAAATAATCACTCTCTCTCTCTCTCTCGGTAGCCAACAATGCCACAATTTCGGATCATAGGAGAGGAAGCCACTCGTCAGGCTAGGGCACAAATGAAATAGGGGGCTTTACCTGCAGACAACACTAATGGATCCAACAAAGAGAAAAAAAAAACCCTAAGACACACACTCTCTTCCTCTCTCTCTCTCTTATCACTCTCGAGTCTCGAGCTCCATGGACGAGAATCCTTTTGGTTTGGACTTTGGAGGAGTCACCTATCGATTTTTAATCAGTCTCGACTCTCGAAGTAATTTAATCAAATAAATATTTGATTATTTAAATTATAAAAATATGCACTATAAATTTTGATCGTATGTGTATATTATATTTATATATATAATTAAATTAATTAATTCTAAAATATCATTAAATTTAGAATTATTAAATCGCGTAGTTTAAACCTCTAGAAATTTTGTTTTGCTTTTAGCTTATTTAATTTACATTAATTAAATTAGAAATAAAAAATGTTAAAACTAAAAATTAATATCAATTAATACCTAATACCGTTATATTTGAAATATTTCTTTTTGATTTTGGGGCTGTTTTGTAATTTACTTGGATAAAAAAAGGAAATTAATGAAAAAGAAATGTAATATAAAAGGAAAATAGTATAAAAATGATATTTTGGAGTTGTTTGTATGAGTGAAATAAATTAAGATTTTTTTTTTTTGAAGTAAAATAAATGTAACTTAAAGTCTAAAAATATTGGCGACCTGCAGACGCCGATCAATGACGAGTAGAGGCTGTGGTGGTGGCCAGCAGAGGGTAGTAGAGGAGCAATTATTAGGTCCTTTCACTGGATGTAGAGGAAGGTTCGGTTTTAGCCAAAAATAGGTAAAAAGTGCAAATACCGAGTTTTTTGAAAAACTCGGTATTTTTTCAAAAAACTCGGTATTTGCACTTTTTTAGGCAAAACCGAACCTTCCTCTAGGTCCTTGCACCGGACCAAATAAAAACTCGTAGTAGAGAGGGTTGTAGAGGTAAAAGAAATGTAATATATTTTAAATGTTGAAGTTTTGAAAATATAGATATTTTATTTAAAATAAAAAAAAAAAAAACATAGTAAAATTTAAATATTTAGAAATTGGAATGACCCCTCTAATGTAATTTTAATGTTAGTTATAATTGAAGGATTTGAATGAGATTAAATACACCATAAAATTCTTATTAGTACAATTGGCCTTCAGCCGCTGCAACACTACCATCACTAACTACCACACCATAAAATGGAACTTTTATTACATCCTCTGACCGGCCGCAGCTCTACGTTCGGTCAGAGGATTGTTACTCAGTTTTTGCTCGGTATTACTCGGTATTTTGTCTTCACATAATGATATTTCTCGTTATTGTTGGTATTGCTCGGTATTTCTCATTTTGTGCCTGCGATCTTAGTGCCGGCCGAACGTAGCTCTCCGTACGTTCACCGGACGTAATAAAAGCTCCATAAAATGACACCCTCACTCAGGTTATGGGATTCTTACACTTGTACTCCTTTTCTTTTATAGCTCTGGTTGCTCATCTCCCATGGTGCTGCTCTGATGCTAACTCCAGACCAAACTAATGAAGAAGCACCAGTGACTGCAAAAGAATCAATCAGCAGCAGTTATTACAAAAAGTTTGGCTCCAAGTCTTTTTCAAACCTTCTCCAGGCAGCTTCTTGTTGATATGCTATTGCTCCGAGTTAACTAGACTGAAATGGTTCTGAGCTTGGCTGCTCCAACAGGTGCTTGATCCTACTGTCATTAATGAAGCTTCGCCTACCACTAAACGGACTTTCTTCTGCAGTGGCTGTGGAGAAGTGATGTGAATCAACAATGTTATGGCTTATTTGGCAAGCAATAAGCACTTTTATTGTACTTCAATATAAGTCAATTTATCATCTTGCTTATCGTTTAGAGGAAAAGGTTTGAAAGAAAAGGGAAGCAACAGAGGAAAACAAAGCAAAGTTATTGGAGAATGACGGGAAAATGCCTTTCAAAACTTAGCAGTAACACGATCTAGATATAATATATCAACAAGCATCTATCAGATTGAAATGAAAGATCTATCAACAAAATAATTCAGAAATTTTATTCAGAAGCCCGTTAAAGAGTTCCGAGAAACTCTATCTAGAAATAATGGACTCACCATTAAAGAGTTCTGAGAAACTTGCAAATACAGATAGTCTTGCAGTAGATTTGCAGAAGGAATAACGCGAATGCATAACTGAAAAACAATTCTATTGGCTTTGATTAAAACATTTCATTCAGAAGCCGGTAAAGAGTTTCGAGAAACTCTATCTGGAAATAATGGACTTACCAATAAAGAGTTCTGAGAAACTTGCAAATGCAGATTGCCAAATTAGCACCAGAGGCTGATCAAGTTCAGCTTCTTCGCTGCATCAAGGTTCAATAAGAAAGGATTGAATAAACAGTATCTACAACTTTTCCCTGAGAACTGCAGGATCCTTCGTTATGATTGCAAACAGATTGTAACAAATAGTAAGTCATCTTTTTTAATTTATTTCATCTTTTTTTTTTCTCAAGCAGGAAGCAAAAGAATGAAATCAAAGAAGTAAAGATATGTACAAATTTCTTTCAAGATTCATAATTGGGAAAGGAGGTTGAGTAATTAGCTGCATAGATGAGAGAATGTAAGCAATTTATATGGTTTTGTTCATCTGAAAAAGGTCATTCTACTCATTATATCTCTAAAAAACCTTTTTGAAGTGCAAAAGGAAGACTGATCATCAATGTCTCTTCCATAACAAAATAAAACAAACTAAATCCAATAACTTCTAAGGGCAGTGTAACAAGGCCATCAATACCCACAAGGAGATATACTAGCATATCAAAAATATTTATTTCTGTGCAACAAAGAAAAACCAGGAAATTATTTTTTTTCCTAGGATTTTGGTCTTATTTTTTAGTGAGAGCACCACTCGTGAATTTGCTAATCAAGAACAGAAGAGACTTAACATGCAACTACTCGATGTAAATGTAAAAAAAAGATATTTGTTGTTTGCAAACTGAGTAGGCCAATTAAAACCAACAAAAATTTATTTAGGTCTCATCAAGAATAATGACAAGTATTGAATGGGTGACACTGCAACGGTTGCCAGACGAGAGGATCGTGCAGCCATCCATGATGCAGTGCCACACACCATATCCATCTCTCTCTATATCCCATGTGAGTTGGACAGTGTAGCTTTTTATTTATTTGAGAATTCTGAGCATCAAAGAACATATTTGATGTAGGCATAATAGTATTACTCTTCTCTCTTTATTTTACAGAAGTATAAGGGTTGTTACAATGGGGAACAACGATAATCACCTACTTCCTGCCAGTGGCAGATCCGCCTTAAGCCTGGGGGCAATTGGGCCCCTAAAAAAAATTTATTATATGATTATTTAGGTAATTTGTCCCCTCCATCTATTTTTTAGTCTTACAAGGGTTTTAGGCAATTCCTAGCCAAGATGCAGTTGCCTAACATCATATTCATCTCTCTCTCTCTCTCTCTCTCTCTCTCTCTCTCTCTCTCTCTCCCCCCTATGTAATGGACAGTAGATTTTCTTTTTTTTTAGGATGAATAGTCAGCGCCTAGGCACAATTTTGATGTTGACAATATAGCATAAGTCTTCTTTCTTTATTATCCCGACAGAACCAGATTTTACAATGGGGAACTATGATAACCATAGCATTCAAACTGCGTGAGGTCGGCTACATGAATCCTTTTTCACCATTGAGTCCGGTTAAAAGTCAAATTCTCATTTAAATCTAATAAAGAAAGATCATTTCTAATATTTTCTAACCAAATCTTTTTAGGTCTACCTCTGCTTTTTTTAACATAATTCAAATCTAATACCTCAACTTTCCTAACCGGGTCATCGGAAGGCCTCCGTTTAATGTGACCAAACCATCTAAGGCGACTCTCTCTAATTTTATCTTCCACTTGAGCTACTCCAAACTTCTCACGTATATGCTTATTTCGTATCCAAAGCCACTCATCCACCTAGTGATGGGATTGTGAAGTTTGCAGCATCCTGAACTCAGATAGCAAAAACTGAAATTTCTTTGTTGCGCAACCATCAATTGAGAAGAGGAAAATGGCAGCGAATTAGAACAAAACATTTGCTGTTTGCAAACTGAGAAGCCCAATCACAACTATCAAATTCAATTAAAATGTCTTATATCTAGAGTAATGGCATAAACAATGGATGGGTGGCACACTGCATCGGTTGCCTGAGGAGAGGATCCCCTGGCCATCCATGCAGCAGTTACCCCTCTGTAACTAGACAAGCCCAACAAAGCCACAAATTTCATATCATTCCAGAGTTTAAGCATGCCGTGAGAGTAGAGCAAGCCCAACAAACGATATTTTGGATCCAAGAGGATAAGAAAGGGCCCCTGGATCTCTACAAAATAGAAAGACAATTTTTTTGGAAATGGTGTGAATGATAATAAAATATTTCCTGTTTGCAAGCTGGAAAGCCCAATCACAACAATCAAATTCAATAAAAATTTCGCATCCAGAATGATGACATAAACAACTGATGGGTGCACTGCATCGGTTGCCTGAGGAGAGGATCCCCTGGCCATCCATGAAGCAGTCACCTCTCTGTGTCTAACCAAGCCCAATAAAGCCACATATTTCAGATCATTCAACAGTGGAGGCCAGCTGTTAGACTAGGGCAGCACCAATAAGAAATTATTCTGTGCTGACACCAAACTGCTCGGAGGATAATCAAAACGTGCCACCTCACCCGGTAAAGAGAGAGTCCATTTATCAACCCAAGGAAATGTTTGATGGAGAAATGTGAGTGGAGAAATTATTCCGTGGGGAGTCCAGAAGTAGTTCTAGCTCCGGACTACAATGAAATCGTGCCTACACCTTGTACAAGTTTGTAGTTAGCCTAGGGCAAAAAATTAAATAAGGGGCCTTTACATACATACCACCTCTCTCGTATATTACAGATCGTTCTAGAGATGAAGCCAGTCCTCAGGCAACGGCAACACCAACTAAAGAAACGTTAGATCCAAAGAGAGAATGGAGAACTGACTACTCTCCCTCCCTGGCTATCCAAGCCCAACAAAGCCACCAATTTCACCAAAGAAGGTTACCACCTTCGAATCAATGGAGTTGAAGCCAGAAGTCAGGCAAAGGGGATTTACATACATACCACACACAAAATTCTAATGAATCCAATTAGGATAAAAAACCCAAGACTCTCCTATCTGAAAAGACGAGAGCAGAAAACAGCCGTCAGGCCAAGGCAATACCAACTAAGGAAACATTAGATCCAAGAGGAAGGAGAAATAACCACTCTCTCTCTCTATCTCTCTATCTCTCTCTCTCTCTCTCTCTCTCTAGCCAACAAAGCCACAATTTTGGATCATTGGAGAGGAAGCCACTCGTTAGGCTAGGGCACAAATGAAATAAGGAAAAATTATTCTGTGTGGACACCGGAACATAAGTATCCCAGAAGGAGAAAAAATCCTAAGACTCTCTCTCTCTCTCTCTCTCTCTCTGGGACTGGGAAAATTATTAGGTCAAGAGACCGGACATAGCTCTACGTTCGGATGCCAATAACTAGTTGACATGTGGATGATTACACGTGGAATTTTTTCAATAAATCTTTTAATTTAATTTATATCAGCCCGACACGACCCGACCTTGTCCACAATTTTTTTCATTTTAAACGTAGGGTTGATGCTATTTTAGAAACCCGCCACAGATCTAAAATATTTATTGCTTTTGATACGTACGGAAGAAAAAAAACGAGTTATGAAATTGCATAAAAGAGCTGGAACGCTCTCCGAAGAGAAATGGGGAAGGGGTGCATGAAACTAGAGTAGGTAAAGCAAAGGAACATGAACTGTTTGCAAACATCAAGCGATATAGATAACCATAGCAGCAACCAATTCGAATTCAATTGTGCATTTTCAAGTCAATTGTGCATTTTCAAGTGCAAGCCGAAAATTCAGTATGATCACTTGATAGCAACAGGATTTACAATACACAAAATATAACTAATCGTTACATGGGCCGCATCTGCAAGATCAGAAGACACATAACATGCCACCCAACAATAAAAGACAATAAGCCATGGGCATCTCAAAGATCTTATCCAATCCAACGATTCCACATTCCCCCACGTACAGTGTGCACTACATCACAGGTTGCAACCTATTCCAAGTGAAGATCAACAAGAATACTTCCCCAATCTTGCATGTCAAGCTCAATGCTAGGCCCATCCTACACATTTGCACCTTTTTTAGGTTTACAAAAAGGAAACTGATCATCATTGCCTCTTCCTTTTAAAAATAAAAAAAATTAAATAACTTCCAAGGACCAAGCAACATAAACATCATTGCCTAATCGGCAACATACAACTATATCAACAAGTACTTCAGTGCAAGTGACATAAATCAGAAATTGAAAGATTTTTTTTCAAAGATTTGCTTGTAATTATTTATCAAAGCATAAATTCACTAATGAAGCACCGCCGAAAGATTATGCATGCAACTATACGATTGACAACCTTTTGAAATGGAGTGAATGAGAACAAAACATTTGTTGTTTGCAAACTGAGAAGCCCAATCACAGCTATCAAATTCAATTAAAATGTCTTATCTAGAATAATGGCATAAACAAAAGATGGGTGGCACACTGCATCGGTTGCCTGAGGAGAGGGCCCACTGGCCATCCATGCGTCAGTTACCCCTCTGTGACTAGACAAGCCCAACAAAGCCACAAATTTCATATCATTCCAGACTTTAAGCCAACCGTAGGGCTGCAAACGAAACGAGCCGAGCCGAGCCGAGTATGTGAGTGTTCCTGTTTATGTTCATTTAATATCAGCTTGTTCAAGCTTGGTTCATGTTTGTTCAAGCTTTATTGTTTGTGTTTATGTTTGGTTCATTTAAATTAATGAGTGTTCATGTTCGGTTCATGTTCAGTTCATGTTCGTTCGTTTAGTGCTTATCGAGCTTGTTCGCGAACATATTTAACGAATTTTTTTTAACTATCAAACAAACATGTTCATGAACATATCCATGAACAAAAACATTTATAATAAAAGCAATAGTCTATATAACAAAGACAATGATTATTTATATTTATTAATTATATAGTCAAATATTAATTATTTTATCAAGCTTATTCACGAGTTCAAAATCGAACACGAATCAAGCTTAATGTCGAGCTTGTTCACGAACTTCAAATGATGTTGTTCGCGAACATAAATGAGCCGAACGCATTAGTGTTCAAGTTTGTTTATTTAAGAATCGAGTATTTAAAATATTATTCAAGTTTGTTTGTTTAGTTAATAAAACGATCACAAACAAGCTTTAATCGAACCGAACAACGAGTAGCTTGTCGAACGTTTGGTTCGCTTGCAGCCCTAGCCAACCGTGGGAGCAGAGCAAGCCCAACAAACGATATTTTGGATCCAAGAGGAATAAGAA